GTAACTTGAGACTCGCGACGATACATGTTTATCACGAATCTTACCTCACCCTTTCCACCATCATGTCATTTATTTTTACCTCTCAGATCAAAATTTGCCAGCAACGGCACTGCTGGATTGAAGACATTGAAAAGGAAATTATCCCTCAAGAATTTGGACTTTCAGTTGTGGAGAAAGTCTCTGTTCTTTAACTCGTTAGCAGAAGTAAAGTATTCCAAGTCAGTGCATGCAAAAATTTACTACTAATGAGAGGGAGCATTATAATACAACATAGTCCAAGAGGGGGATCAGCTAAATTTTGTTTAAGGGTGCCGATTTGGAAGATAAATTTTTGTTCTGGTGTTTTAGAAAAATTTATCTACCAAATCGGCACCCTCAAACCCCACGGAATCAACGAGCGCTTTTCATTCAACTAATTTATTCCTGTTCTCTCGTCACCATATTCCCACCAATGGCGTAGCTCCACTTTCTGAATAGAAACCCACACACAACCCACAATTCCTCCAATCGCTCTGACGAAGGGCTAACGCTCGAAACGTCAGTTTTTTTACCCTTTATGGTGGCTAATTTACGTTTTCAACCCAGTTGTTAACACTAAATTACCTGCTATACTCTCCCACCGACGCAGCACCACAGTTTCTTTAGAAACTTACCCCTTTATTGTTTGATAAAGGGTCGTGTTCACGAGACTGCAATGAGCCTATCAGAAGGTGACACATTGCATATTTGTATTCATGGCGCGAATATTAGCGTCCTTTTGGCGTCGTTTGCGATTACTCCTGGCTTTACTTTTGGCGTGTGAAGTGATCAGTGGACTCTTTTTCTTTAAAAATGTCAAGAATTTCCGACCACATCAGCATGAGCGAAAGTTTTACTGTGCTACTGGACGATTTTTTGAAAGAAAACCAATCTTTAAGAGAACAATTGAGGCAGCGCGATGAAGAAAATGCCCTAAAGTTCGAATAGCTTTCAAACAAAGCGAACTCTTCTTGTAAACTTGTCGCCGAGAACAATTCGGGCAGCAAGGAAACGAAATCAAAGAAAGGTAAATCAAAGGTCCATGTGCCTACAAGCTGTGCGAAACCAATGAGATATTTTGTACACCTAAGTAAAAATATTTATATTTATGATATTTGTATTTTTCAGTTCTTTCCCGTGTATATAAACCTCTGGCTACGTTACTGTGAAAATTACAAAATCAAGTTAAAGAGTTATGACAGTAAAA